TGAACTACATGTTACTTCAAGAACATCATCGCAAAGAAGAGTATACACCCTGGTATGTACATTTTCCATTTACAGTATTATGCTGTAAGACGCAAACAAAAATCTTAAAAGAAAGACAAGTGTGCAGATAAAAAAGAAGAAGGAGAAAACAAATTGCAAAACATAGATAAGCACAGTTGTCGCATATCGCCAGATAACAATCGCACATCAAGTCACAAGAAAAAGTAAAGAGCGTAAAAAAACATATAACAACAAAACAAAAACACCAAAAAAAAAAACAACAGCAAAAGATATAGAGGACACAATCATATTACCAAAATATCAACCAGTCGTCTACACAAAGGAGGAGAATGTAAGTCGCAGACCATATTATTATAATTATTATCATCATTATCTTAACGATATTCGTAAGATGCTACCCGCTTCATAGAGGCTAAATACACTTTGCTCTTGTCATGACCATTCGTCTGTCGGGACCACACTTCACTCTCTCGTATACTCTTTACAGTAGTTGTGATGCATGTAGATAGTAGTAATTATTATCCCAGATGTTCCCTCAGAAACGAAAGACGGTCAGTGATTTGTGCAAAATACACCTACAAAGGAATGGATGGCATACATATAAAAATTGCTGTTCATGAATTTTAAGGGAAATTCCTTGAACGATGACAACATTTAAGTAGGCCTACCTAGTCCATCTAAATGTACTTACAGTTTTCTACACATAGCAACTACACAATTACAGTTATATAACTATTGTCTGGGCCTTGTGAGAAGTATTCTCTTGGCCGCCGTGTATATTGTACACATGCTCACAGGAGGCGCCATTGATAAATCCGATTGATGTTATTTCCTAATTTGTTCTATTTTGTCTGTTTTCACCTTTTTCATATTATTATGTATAATAAAACCATGCAAAAACGATTGCTTTAAGGTCTTTCCTTAATAATAATTAAAAGCAAAACAACAACAACAGAAAAAACCCAACAAAACAAAACAAAACATCCCCCCACTAAAAAAAACAACCCCACCCCCCCAAAAACCCCAACCCCGAGCTCACTGATGTTTTTAGTGAAAACAAATAATTAGTAACCCTTGTGGATTATTCTAGTGTCAAATCAGGACAACGTGTTTCTTTCACATTTAATATGACCTCAGTGGTTTTCAGAGTAGAAAAAACCCTCAGTCGGTCTAGACTTTTCCGAGCAAAAAAAAAAAAAAAGAAGTAAAAATTTCAAAAATAAAACAATACAAATATTATAGATAGATAAAATTTAAATGTGGTATGTAATCATACTTAAGAAACGATCTGTCCATGCACTAAGAGACCGAACACTGAAACAGATCTCCCTTCTATTTTTGACGGGGTTCGAGCCTTGTTGTGTATTCCATAGCATTGCCGCTTCTTCCGAAAATATTCATTACACCGGGCCACCATAGATCATTTAAGCAATGATAGCAAACAACGATTGGTCGTGACGGTATCACTATGGTACAGGTCCTACGTCTACATAAATACTAGAAAGTTACTTCAGAGGCAAGACCCCCGAATTTAGTAAGCAGTGTCCATTTACATAACTGGTTCTGTTTTGTCAGTTTTGTTGGTTTTGGGCAGCTTGATTTAAGGGGGGGGGGGGGGGGGACAAAATGTTTCGTCAGGAGATCGGTTTGCGTAACTGGACTATTTATAGTATGCACTGAAGCAGCCAGAGACCGAATCGAACCGAACCTCCAATGAGCACAACCTGTTACATCCATTCTCTTTCGGACCAACTCATGAGGTGTAGGGACGCCAACGTATCTCTAACAATACGGGTTTAAAACCAACCCGTTAGGAATTTGAATCAGGGCCATCTAATCTGCAGTTCAGTATGGTACCCTCATTGTTGCATCTGACAAGAACATTTTTGGACCAAAGATGAACGAAGACTTCGCTCTTGGCTCTTGGCGATAAAAAAAATCCGAAACTTTTGGATCAGGGCAGAAGAACCACAAACCGTCTAAGAAAGACCAAACGAGGTCGCATCACGATAAACCAAAACTGTACGTGCTTAAAGGCATTATGTACTACCTCCATTTCCCCTCAGTCTTGTTGTAAATAACTTTGAAAGGATTGCTTTTTAGTCGTAAAAACAGAAAACTGAAATACTTCGGAGCGCTTGTTTTTACCGTAATAATTTCGCTACCTTGGACTTACAAAGTTCTATCTGCTCAGTACCTAGTTTAAAGGAAATTTGACCTCAAAAGAATTTAGTTTCACAATATGTCAAGCTTTTTCGAACGCAATTCTTTAAATATCTTTGTAACGACTCCGAAATATCGCACGATCTTCATGAAGCAATTAATTGGTTTCTGACCTTATGGCCTTAGTAACTCAAAACGACCAAAAATGTCAGATCGAACTTTGTAATTCTAAGGAAGCCGTTTGAGCTGAAAGGGAAGATTTTCAGCAACATTGACACCTGTGACAAAAACTCCCGCAAGTCAGAAACTGGAGGTAGTACAAGATAGCACTCGGCTCGCGACTGTTTGGTCTAAGCAGAAGAAAAGCAATGAACTTGTCTACTCACTAATATCATATAACTTCTTATGATAATGTTTTGATATGAGAAAGCTTTACATAACCAGCATACAATTGGAAACAGTAACATGAAAAGTGTTTGTTAGTTAATATTAACACTCAAAAGAAAATATGACATATGTACAAGTGTATGAAATACGTGTGACAAAATGAAGTAATGTTTGAGCAATGGAGGATTTTCCCCACTAGCAGCGCTCTGAGAGGCACCACTGATCAAAAACAGAAAAAAACCCATTCCAAAACAGACAGTAGAGCAGAAGGTGCTGTTAGGAAACCCAGACGGCGACAAGCAGCCATATTGCTTTAGTTTGAAGACGCACAGAGAAAGGGAAAGAAAAGAATTTGACCTGTTAGCGAGGACATTTTATGCTCAGCTTTGTTTGTTCCAATAGCAGACAGCTGTTTTTGATGAAGCTATCTACTCGTATTTTCAATGGATCTTTGCACTCATTATCCATTTTCCTATTTCCGAGCTCCGAATTAAAAAGCAACCCCAGAAAAATAATATTGCGGTTTGAACGTTTAGCTTCTTACTCCTGACAGCTTTATTAAGTCATTGGTGACACACAACTTCGTAAGTTAAGTTCTAATTTTCTTGTCAATGTTGACAAAAGTATAGATCTATCACCCCTCCCCTTTTCCCCACAAGCTACCAGCAAGGTAGTACTCTTGGCCTTTTATTCCTTCTCTCACTCCAGAAACTAGAGGCTCTCTATCTATCATGCCAGTCGTAATAAAGCGCCAATCTATCCGTGTCTGCATCATTCTTTTCAGTCAAAACTTGTATCCCCACATCTTTTTTGTGGTTGCATTTTATCCACTACTACACAAACAAACTACACTCTGGAGAAGGTTAACATTTCGGTACAGGACTCCCCAAAGACGGTGCATCGAGGAGTCATCCAAAAACGGATCTGTCTGATACCCGAGATCCAAAGGTTGACAATACAGGGAATAAAAGAACTCCCTATGACCATTGCCTACGATTCTGTCCATGTTCCAGTTCTTGAACATCCAATGGGATTACCGATCATCCACGGAAAACACCGATGATACTCGGAGATCACCGAGCATTCGCAAAAATCACGGACTGTCCAAGGAGTTCATCATCACCGAGTATTAATGGAGATCGCCGAGCGTCCACGGAGATAATCGAACATTCATGGAGACCATAATCATCGAGTGTTTACCAGAAATTCGATTCGATTGATATGTCCGAGGTCTATATAAAAGTTCCAGCAGCCGAGGTACCATCAGGTTGGAGATGCCTAAACAGGCGCCTTCCCTCTTGATCAGTGGAAACGAAAAACTCCTCTCGCCTTCAGGACGTCACCATTCTCATTGTCTTCCTCGTCGTCATCGTCATCTGTAGAGAAGCCCGTTCGACCTGGTTTTGATAGGAGATTTTGAGCCTCTGGGTCGTCGTGAGGGGATGGGGGAATTCGTGGCAGACGATATCTCACGGGAACTCTTTGTCGCCGCTGACGCATCAGAACCTGGACAAGTAAAGAAGTAAGTAAGTAATTAAGTAAAGTAAGTAAGTGGGTAGGTGGGTAAGTAAGTAAGTAAGTCAGTAACTAAGCAAGCAAGCAAGCAAGCAAGTAAGTAAGTAAGTAAGTAAGTAAGTAAGTAAGTAAGTAAGTAAGTAAGTAAGCAAGTTAGTTAGTTATTCACAGTTTAAGGCATTTTGGCCACATTATATCGTATAAAACACTCATTTAGTAAAGGGAGTTTTCATAATAAAAAAGTAGAGGTTGTGCACATATCTCTTATCATGGGTCAAACATTGCATATTTCTGTCACTGGGCCAAGTCAGGCTGGGAGGAATTAACAATTTCCTTTTGGTGGGCAAAATTTGGACAATAAAATATAAATATTCTTCAATTTCACGAGAGAACCTGGACAAGGAGGGAGAGGGAAAGGGCAAACAAAAAATTACCGCTTTTCCTACCATTCCGTTTCTAAATATGATTAGAAGAGGCGAATACAAGCACGTTTTGTTTATATATAAAGGAATCGAAGGACTTCATCATCATCATCATCATCATCATCATCATCATCATCATCATCATCATCATCATCATCATCATCATCTCTCTCTCTCTCTCTCTCTCTCTCTCTCTCTGG